AACTAAAAGCCTGCCGCATTTATACCTACCTGTCCGTTCCGTAATCTGTAACCTCTTTCGATATATCCAGAACCCGCAGACCACACAGACTACGAAGCGTTTCGGTTACACACCCAGAGCGAATGCGTAGATTGTGCATTATAAGGGCCTCGAGATTCCTAAAGCGACCTCAGTTAAGCTTCACGTGACCAAAGTCATATAGAGTAAGGTCGAATGAACTCAATAGAAAGACATCCTTTAAAACATAGGAAAGTCGGGCGCCATGTAATAAGGTGAGGGTTTCTCTGTAACAGTTTTTCAGAACACGATCACCACAAATTCTCACAAGTTTGGGAAGCTCTGAACCATGTTATCACGCAGGTTATCGATTTTTCGCGCAGTTCGACGACGCTGGGGCATTTTGAACTTTCGCTGCTTCATTAGTTCTTGTTCACAAGGCTCACTTTGGTGAACCCTGTAAACGTTCGTAAAGCTGTCGAGCTACTGTCGTAAATGGTATTTTTATGGTATTTCACTGTTTTACAAGACAGGTGGTCTCCAAAAACTTTGGCTGGCATCATTTCGCGGCTTAACAAGATTTCACAGGTATCCAATTGATGCCTCGACATGTTGATGAAACGAACCAAAATGCGCAATGCTCATTCCCCCCACCCCCCACCCCTAGTTGCCTAAATGCGCCATTTTCACCTTCTATGAAGAACGGCGTCTGCTGCCGAGAGGTGCGGAAAAACGATTGTATCCTCCAGACGATGAGGATTTTCTCTATTCTCGGGATAGAAACACCCGTTGGGAAAACGAAGATGTAAAGGTTCTGCAAAAAGCCTTCCCTGATAGATTATTTGAAAAGGAAGCTGTCGTACTTTTTCGGGAGCCCTTGATGCTCTTATTCGAGACCCAGCACCTTATTACACTGTCGCTAGAAGTCTTTAACAAAACAAATTATAAAAAACGTACACTTGTTCATTCAGAGCAGAAATGTCTGCAACTAATGTATTAGAAATGTCAAGTAGCTTCAAGTTAGGAAGTTCGCGAACAACTTTCAAAGCCGCCTGGCACACCGGACGTCCTGCAAGCGAAAGGCTTTCCAATGCAGAGAATTGTGCCAGCTGAAAGAAGAAC